ACCGAGCAGGGAGCCCGATGCGGGACTCGATCCTGGAACTCCAGGATCATGACCTGAGCCGAAGGCAGTTGCTTAACCAACTGAGCCACCCAGGCGCCCTCGATCTATACTTATCTTGATCGAAGATACCAGGCGCTAAGTACCAACTGTGTGCCAGGCACTGTGCTCAATGCTCTGTCTGAACCATCTCATTAATCCTTAAAACAATCCAGAGTGTGCTTGTTATTAACAAGCCTCACCCCCTTTACAGATGGGGGGGGCAGGGCGTGGAAGGGAAGCCTGGTGGGGTGGGGATGGGATGGATAATTATTCTGCACCACTGTTCAACTCCCAGTGAAGTCCAGCAATACCAGACTCCGAATGGCATGCCCTAAACTACTGAGCTGGGTATCCCTTATGAGGCCTGTTGGAGCTGTGTATACAGTAGGTCCTCGATACACGCTTGATGGACAAAGAAATGACCTGACTTTAGTCTTTCTGGCATCGCTCCAAAAGGAGCCAGTCGGACCGCATACAGTTTTCCTGACCTTCACCAGTCCAGCCCAGCCAAGGAAAGCTGGGGGACCCAAATGACAGGAGCATATCTGACAATTAATGGCGTATCCCCTAAAATCCCCCACACAAAGGACTAGCTCATCTGCCACAGGCCGTCCCACGGAGAGGCATGTCCTGTGGTTCTTAGCTCAAATGTCACAGTAGGAACAGCACTGCAATGCCTATACACTTGACATTTCTACTCCCTGTCTGTTTGATAACATGCAACTGCCCACTTGGTAAACAAATCTGGGGAAAGCACAAGCTGTAAATTCACTTTTTGAATGATTTAACCCACCTCCCCTTTACAGACTTCTCTTAACATTTTGCATTATGTTGAGTGCCAAAAATGTACTAAGTTGCTACCCAGGATTCAATATATTCATCCTGAGAAGCACAGAAAGTCATGTACCGTTGTTCAGGCTTTCGACTGCAAAGCTCTAGGTGGTATCATTCATAACAACCGCCAGGTGAATGGGGCCTTCCAGTGTTGTGTGGTGTGTTGGCCGTGCTGGGAAGGTTCCAGCCCTCTTCTCTGCTTGTGGCAAAACCAAAGTAAGTGTCTTCCCAGAAGGTCCCCACCCCTGGCCCCCAGAAAGAGTCCCCCACTTGCACAATGGGTCAGCAGCCAGGGTAAAGTGCAACTGTCCTCCAGCTCAGTGCTAGAACCTAGGCCATGCACCCGTGATACTCAACATCTGGGTATCTGGGGCAAACAGGTACCTGACTAGGATTTTCAGGGTCCATCACGATTCTCCACTGGTTCAGAGGCCAATTCAAATTCCTTGATCTGGCATTCAAGACCCTACAGGACCTGAGCTTGCAGGCTCATTTTCCATGATTCCCCCCACTCTTCCTAGGTACTGTGGAGTTTGCCCAACCTAGGTCCATTCCCTCCTCTCTGGTTACAGCATGCAAACTGTCTATTACAAAGATTGGCAAACTACGGGGCCCAATCTCCTGCCTGACCTTGTACATGAAGTAAGACTGGAACACAGCCACACCCACTCAGTAATGTCCCACCTATGGCTGCTTTCACACTGTCTAGGAGTGGTTGTGACAGACTAAGCCCTTTCTAGGAAAAGTTTGCCCACCCCTAGTCTGTTAGCTCGGTTCATGTGTGTCAGGTGGGAATGACCCTTTCCCTGGTTCCAGGATGGTCAGACAATCCAGGCATGATCCTAGCATCATTTCCTCCAAGCAAAAGTGACTGGCTCGGGGCACCTGGGTGGCTCAGTTGGTTAAGCAACTGCCTTCGGCTCAGGTCATGATCCTGGAGTCCCGGGATCGAGTCCCGCATCGGACTCCCTGCTCAGCGGGGAGTCTGCTTCTCCTTCTGATCCTCCCCCTCTCATGCTGTCTCCCATTCTCTCTCTCAGATAAATAAATAAAAAATCTTTAAAAAAAAAAAAAAAGTGACTGGCTCAAGTGACTGGCACATGACCCAAATCAGAGCAATGAGAGCCCATCCTGGTTTGTTTGCTGCTATTGAGGCAAAGAAGAAAGCAGCTTAAGAATGAGGCCGATAAAGGGGCGCCTGGGTGGCTCAGTTGGTTAAGCGTCCAACTCTTGATTTCAGCTCAGGTCATGATCTCAGGGTTGTGAGACTGAGCACTGTGTCGGGCTCCAAGCTGGGCATGGAGCCCGCTTAAGATTCTTTCTCCATCTCCCTCTGCCCCTCCCTGCCCCCCAAAAAAGAATGAGGCCAATATAGAAGAAACAGAGACAGAGGGAAGGGGAGAAGGCACAAATGCATGCCCATGACAACATCTGACCCCTGGATCCAGCTATGCCTGAAACCACTGTTCCCTGGATATTTTTTTCCATAATGAGACTCTAGGCAGAACTGTCATATGGGTGTGCAGGGTGTGAATGCACAACTCTCGGGGGCAGCTGGGCTTATGTACCTGCCTTATCTCCTGTACAAGATTTAAAATCTCCTGAGCACAGTAATCGGACTCTATGTAGTCTCTGCATCCCACAGTGCCTGGCACATGAGGCATACTCGAGAAACAGTTACCAAAGAAACTGAGATTAAGTTTTCAACCAGATGACTGGCACTTTCAGGATTCAATTTCTGCCTGTAAGTTTGTCAGTTGGTCAATAACAATTTTTTGGAGTGAACAACACAGATAAAAACCCCACCCTCGCAGAGCTGGCACTCTTCTGAGCATGGCTTTCAAGACACCAGATGGGCTGAGCCAACCTCTGCCACACAGGGCACTGGACAGTGGGAATGATCTCTCGATCATTCACCAAACATCTCAACTCTACGCATACCTGCAGGACTCAGACTACAACCCGTGACTAATGAAAACATTTCTTAACACTGTCTTTACACCAGTTTAAAGAATCTCCATCAATACCTACAAATTCAGAAACGAATACTTACTACTCTGTGAAGCATGTTATGTGCACATCTCATTACTCAGAACCACAACCCTATAAAGGAAGTTCTATTACTGTCCTCACTTCACAGATGAGGAAACGGAGACCAAACAGGGTAAGATGAATCACTTACGTTTATGATTGCCAACCAGGGGTCAAGCATTTGTAGGGGTTTTCTGTGTACTAATTCTGGCAGTCACCACAACAACCATATGAGATAAACCCTATTATTTTTATCATCCCCATTTTACAGATGGGAAATCAAGGCACAGAGCTCTAACTACTTGCCCAAGGTCACAGAACTAGAAAAAAGTAGGAGACACAGGATCTGAAGGCACAGGGCCTGACATAGAGCCATTGTGCTATGGAAATATTTGATGCTTGCTTCTAAGAAGAGCAAATGAGAGGACTGAGACATGACCCCCAACTTGGAGGGAAAGAGGGGATATCATGGACTTCCAGAATCTCAGCTCAAAGATTTAGCTGGAACAGCACTGGGTTCCCCCTGAGGCTCTGGCTGTGGGCCCTTGCATTGCCTCCCGCCCTCTCGGGGCCTCCCGCTCTGCACAGGAGAGCTGGACTCACTGGTGGCCAGGCCCTTCTAGGCGCTGGCCTTCTAGACTCAACCCAGGCTCTCTGGCCACGCTCCTCTCTTAGCCACTGAGAGGTGGACCAGACACGTGGCTGAGAAGCTTCAAAACTGTGTTCCCAAAATATCTGAGTGACTGGCAGATGGAGATGTTGTATGCAGGCGCGGGAGGAGCACGAATTGGAAATAAAATGAAAGATGCCAGAGAGAACATAAACAGCGTTGGAGGACAGGATGGAGCCTGGAGGTGCTTTTCTGCTTCCCTGGGTCTGAAGTCCTTGTTCAGACCGGCAAAAAGGCACCTGTTTGTCCATGCGGTCTACCAACCATCCAGCAGTTTTCACTGAGCATCGACTCTGTGCCAGGCACTGGGTCGGGTGCTGGGACTGTAGGTCATACTGACTTGGATGGCCATCCTTAGAATTTCGACATCCCTTGAAGAATGCAGATGCTCACAGATCTCTTCTTCCACTTGGAACGACACTCGACATGATTAAAAGCGCGCACAGGCTTAACACTGCGCCCTCCGAGTCTCAGACGAACCGAGGGGGACCTAGCTAAGCTAGAGCCCGGCCACCAGCTTGCCAAACAAAATGAGAGGCACAGAGCAGGTCCCCGTCAGCAGCAAAGAGGTCCACGGACACTCAGCGTCTCCCCCTTTCATACCCCAAGCCCTCCTGCCCGCACCCCCTCGCACAAACTGAGCCAAGAAAACGTCTTGAGATCGCTTTCAAGGAAGTTCGGAGCAGTTTTACTTACAGCCAGGGAGGAGTCTGGGCAGGGAAAGGTCCCAGAATTTCAACTTCATCCTCACTCGACTGGCAACAGCTGGACTCATAGCACTTCTCACAGCAGTGCCTGCAAGTCCATCTGCACAGTAGCAGATCGGAGATTCTAGAAAGAAAACCCTGAGGCCATCGGGGGAGGTGGGCAGTGGAGAGGGGGAGTGGGGGGGAGGGGAGGTGGGAGGGGAGGAGAGGAGGAAAAGGAAAAACACCCGAAAATTACAAGCAGCCGATCCCCGCTGAGAAATAAGGACATTCAGGAGGTCTGTCCCTGCTGCTGAACACTTAGAACAAAATGTTTTCCGTTTCTATTTACCAACTGCAGGCACAGAGATGGCAAACACCAACTTGCTGGAGCCGTTAATAGTGAGCAAAACATTTGCAGGTATTTTCTCTGGTAGTTTATGTGAGTGTCTTTCTTGACAGGTGGGTGGTTTATACAACACCGTGAGAGCTATACAATATGTTCTCGAAACACAATGAATATTACTCTGTCTTCTTGAAAGCAAAGCAAAAAAAGATTTTTAAAAAAAATCATCTCAGTGACACGAAAGTAAACAGAGGTAACCAAACGGAATAAGGACGGTGGTGGGGAGAGCAATCTAGCCTGTCTACAAGTGTCTCCTCTTCATCGGGATCTCCCTCCTTCCATAGAAAGGCATCAAAACCGTGCCGTTCTAAACATCCAGTCATTGTTCAATACTGAACAGCCCCACAGCCCCACATAAGACTCCGAAATGAAAGGCAAGCACCTCTTGATCAGAAACCAGACCAAAGGAATCATCGAATTAACCCACCTCGTTTAAAGGTTCCAACTGCCCTTTTAGAGATCCACGAAGAAGCCAAGGGGCGTCGGGGGTGAGAGGGTTACAAAAAGAGAGACAAGACCAGTTTAGCAATATTCCAGCAACTCAGAAAAGAAAAAAGAAAAAGAAAGAAAGAAAAAAAAAAAAAAAAAAAAGCCCTGCATCTTTCCACTTACCATCCTGGGAAGGGAGCTGACTCCCTAACAAGGTGCTATCTGCGGGGCTGCTGGGAGCCTCCTGGCTAACCAACACCGAATAAATGGGAAACTTTAGCATTTCGATTTGATTTGCACCGTATGCTGTTATGAATCAGACCGGGTGGATAGATAGTCATTCTATCCAATGCAGCCACACTTCAGAAGAGCAAACCTTCCTATACAGAAATAGCCATGAAGCCAACCCAAAAGGACATGATTAGCTAACACGCAGGCAGACGCACAGGGGATGTGACTTGGCTTCCCCCCCACCCTCCCAGGGGGCCTACCTTATAATTCTGCTCCAATGGTGATGGTGGGGAGTTTCATATGACCACCCACAAACACAGGGAGCAGAGAAGGAAGCCATAATCTGGGCCTGGGAGGGGGTGGGGGGTGGGGCTACCTCCCTTTTCAGCCCCACCTCCCATCAGGACTTGTCACCCGTTCCCAAGGCACAGACTCCCTTCCCCTCTGCCAGGGAAGAGTCGCAGTGGCTTAGGAATGAATGGACCAAGGAAACCAGGTAGATTAGGAGTCCCGCATCCCAGCCTGGGATAAATCCCCGGGATGAACTCAAACTCAGAATTTGGAATCAAGACGAAGAAAGTTATCTATCCTCTTTTTCAATTCTCTCGCTCTCAAGGAGGAGGTCTCAGTTTGGTACCATTGCATGTTAACATGTTTCTAACACTTGTACAACTCCCGCCCCCCCGCCCCCATCCCCTCTTCCTTTTTAAACAGAGAACAGACCTCAGCTCAGAGCCTTGGACATAACTAACTGTATGGCATTACTATCATTGTGTTTATTTTTCCAGTTGCCTTCTGTTTATATCAAGTGATCCTTGTTTTCTATTATGGTAGTGACATAAAGTTTCCTTTTCATATGATTTTAAGTTAAAAAAAGAAAGTGAGTCCGTTTATAGGAAAAAGTATTAAGTAAATATAGTACAAGTGGTACACAGCTCATGAAAAATTCAAAATCCTTGAAGTGATAAGGGAATGGCTGCAGCTTGGGAAAGAAAGTCTCGGGCACTAATCACAGACTCTTCCAAAAGCAAAACTCGAACCACACACAGAGCAAGACCTGAAGATGCTTGGGGGTCACGCAGAGCTGAGCGGGTAAGTGTTAGTGCTGGCTTCACCACCAGCCAATCATGTGACTTGGGTAAGTCAGGGGGCCACTCTGAACTTCAGTTACCTCTTTTCTTTAATGGAAGGGCTAAACTAGGACTCTTGACTATAAAAATGCTTGTGTGTGCTGCCCAGCTGCAAAATATCTGCACTCTTTCTGTGGCTTTATGAGAACAAGGTGGTTTGTCAAGACCAGTCGGAACCTATTAGGCATCAGAGACTGTCCTGGCAGCTGCAACAGTGAAAAAGTAGCAAAAAGCTATGCCCTCGTGCACTTACATGAGGAAGTGCTTGAAAATGCTTACAATAAAGTGCAAGGATAAAGGGCTGCTTTTTCCTTGGACAACAGTCCATGCCCATTCTTTCCATAGAGGGAAAGCATTTCCTAGGTGTGTGGTGATCAAAAGACACTGTTTATATAAAACCACATGAGTAGAGACAAAGGCCACCGTAGGGCCCAATCCTTTCTCAAACCCCAGGTATAAGATGAATGTCCGGGAGCAAAGAGAAACCAAGGAAGAGAAAGAGGGGAGGGAAGATGTTTTTATGTTCCCAGCATGCTAAGTCTTTCTTCACATGGAGTCCACTGGGTTCATGTATTTGACCGGAGAGAGGATCACCGGTTCAAGCCAGAAAGAAATAGGAAGAAGGAGAATCCAGATATTCTAGAACAGGTGTTGGCAAGCGATGACTTGCAAGGCTAAATCCAGCCCACAACCTGCTTTTGTATGGTCCTCCAGTTAAGGATGGTTTGTACATTTTTAAATGGTTGGGAAAACACCAAAAGAAAATGAATATTTCTTGACTAGCACACAGTATATGAAATTGAAATTTCAGTGTCCACAAATAGTTTTATTGGAACACAGCCACGCCCATGCATTTACTATGGTCTATAGTCGTTCGATGCCATAGTCAGAGTTGAATATTTATGACACAGACCATGTAGCGCTCCAAGAAAAAAAATGTACTATCTGGACATTTATAGAAAAAGTTTCATACCTGGTTCTAGAAGGAAAGTCAGTTTCACCAAGCCAGTCTCATTTTAGCTGCTTAACAAATCCCCCACTGATCCCCACCATCTCCCTTTTCGATCCCACCACGACCCCTAAGCAGCTGTGTGACCTTGGGCAAGTCACTAATCTCTGTCCTGAAGGTGGTTATTAAAACCCACAGAAGCATGGTCTAATATTGTGTATTTCTCACTGGATTGTGCATTCTGAGGGGCAGAGACTATGCTGTTTTCACAACTGTATCCCCAGAGCTCACATAGGTGGTCACTCAAGTGTTTGTTGAGTGACTATTGAATAGCCCCACGACATTCAGCCTGCAGTAAGTGTATAGAAAATATGACCTTCACTGAACTTGAAAAGAGGATCTAGAGATTCCATAGAAGCCAGTGGTGCAAATCTAAGCCACCAGAGGGATGGGGAGAACAAGACGGGTGACAGAGCACAGAGTTCCTGCCAGGCTGAAAAGTCTGAGGACAAGATGTGAGCCAGTGGGGAACCAGAAAACCAGCAGCCCCCTCGGCTGTAGCTGAGGGTGAGAGAAGTGAGCCCAGATGCACCCTAGATGTGGGAACCTGTAGGCTTTTCTGCCGGGCAGAGAGGAGCCAACCCCAGAAAGCAAGCAGCTCAACGGGTCTGACTGCAGGGTGACTGCATGACCTTGGCGCTGACCTGTCGCCACTTCCCTGCCTTGTACTGAAGGGAAAGGTCTCGTAATCAAGCAGCCTCCCCCCAAAAAGGATGCCTGGAAATTATTTCAGTCCAAGGATTCTTGTGAGAGTTTCCTCAAGGTGATGGGGGTCCACAACTCCCAGACCCCAATGCAATGGCCGAAAATGATCGGTTGCTCCCGCCCCCACCAACAGCGCGCCTGTAGTATGTCCCCCACCCCTCAGCACCCAGTGCCCGGGAGAGACGACGTCCTTGTCCCTCCTGGCCGGAACAGCTGCCTCAGGCTCGCTCCGCCGGCCAATTAGCCAGAGCCGTCGCCACGGCAACGGCAGCTGGCGGGCCGGGCGGCTGGCGCGTCCCGGACCGCCCTCCCCGCGGCCCCTCCTCTGGGGTGGGGTGCAAGGGGAGGGGATGGGGGCAGAAAAGTCCGCCCCACCCCCACTCCCTCCCCAGGAGGCCAGGGCGCGCGGGCAGAGTCCACAGGGGCCCTTCATCCCCGGGTGTGGGGGTCCCCAGCCCCCTATCCTGGGTCGCACCCGTGCCGCTGCACAGGCTGCGTGCCCTCGGGCACCCTTTCTCTCGAAGCAAGTTTGTGGGAGCCCAGCCGTGTGCCCTCCCTTCCGCGCGCTCACGGCCGGAGGGGGCGCGGCACCCCCCACCCGCACCGCGGACCTTGCCCCCCAGCCTCAGCCCTACCTGGATGTACGCCATTTTCGCCCTCGCGCACTCACTCCGGCCCGGGCATGGCGCCGCCACGGCCACTTTGCCCTCGCCAACAGGGGAGGGGGGGGAAAGGAAGAAAAAGGCAGCCGGGTGGCCCCAGACGTGACTGGCGTGGCTGATGAGCGGCGCCCGCCCCTCCGCCGGCCGCCCCGTCCTTGCCTTTCCCTGCGTTCCGGCTCCCGGAGTCGGGGCCGCCTCCCAGGTTGGGAGCTGGGGCGCCCAGAGCCCCCGCCTCGGCCACTCTCGCTGTCCTGCGCTCCCCCCGAGGCGCTGCCCTGGCTGGAAGGAGGCCGGGGCGCCTGGGGAGGGAGCCCGGGGCGGCCGCGTGGACTGCAGCGACCCCGGCGCAGGCGGGACTGGAGACGCCGGGGCCCGGGCGCGCCAGAGGCGGGGGAGGGGATGGGGAAAGGGGTGGGAGGGGGCGGTGCGCGGGTCAGCCCATCCGGTCGGCACCGGGGCTGGCACCTACCGAGAGCAGAGCCCCCGGGACGGTCTTGAAACCGAGGGGGTACAGTCCTGCCCGCCGTGGAGTCTGGGGCGGGGAGGGTCCTCCCCATCCAGCCCTCTCCCAGTCCGGGTTGGAAAAACTTTATTCCCGCCCCACCCGTCGCGCCTAGAACTGTTGCGGCGAGGAACGCAGAGGTCAAATGAATGGGAGCTTTAAGTTCAGGTGGGGGCCTAGGGCGCCGGGAGGCGGGAACGTGCTGTGGCCGGGGCCGCAGGGGCGCGCGGAGAGAGCGGAGCGCCCCTTCACCTTACCCCTGCCCGAGTTGCGCCCTGGGCTCAACAGGTCTGGAGCGGGGCGGCCCAGCAGCGCCACCCAGCGTCGCGCCCGCGCCGTGCGCGCCTCTGCCCGCTCAAAGCTCCGTGCCCGCGAGCGAGCGCCCCCGGGCGTGCCCACCCTGTCCCGCCCGCCCGCGTGGCTGGGGCGCCCTGGGCCTGGAGTCCTCCCCCAAACCGGTCTCCCACCCCCAAGGCCACAGAACTGGGGCCCACTCTGCTACTGAGGGATTCGAAGTGGAACATTGCCCTCCGCTGGTTCTCTTTTTAAAATGCCCAGCCGTCTCCCGTTGTCAGTCGCCAGTTTATCAGCCTTTTAACTCCCAGCGCCTCCGTCTGTCTTTTTCATCACTAAAAATGGCATAAAATCTCTGTCCTGCCTCTCCTCCACGGCTGTTTTGTGGGGATACGTGAAGAAATGAACGTGGAAGTAATAAGCACAAGGCGTAATGGGCGTCTGTGTACATCTTTTGCGTGAAAATCGAACAGGTGCACATTTTTTTGTACGTCCGTCAGATTTCATTCGTAGCACGTGGCGTACAATACGTGCTGAGCCCTTATCATCCCGTAGGCACTGTGCTCAACACTTCGCAAGCATGATTTCATTTCCTTGTCCTCTGCCTTCCTCACTCTATGTCGTACGCAGCGCCTGACCAGAGTAGGCACTCAATAAATGTTTCCGTTGTTGCTGTTGACTCCTAACTATTTTGGCGAAGGCGCTGCAGTCGTCCCCAATTCACAAATGAGACGGAGGTGCAGTGACGTAGACTCCCACCCCCACCCCCACTGGCGTTTGAATCCACACAGGGTGCCCTCCTAACCACTTAACAGTATTCATACTGTTTCTTCAGCACTGATGGAAAGGGTGCTTGGCGGGGAGAGGGCTTCACCGAGAAGGGGTGCCTACTGGGATGGGCGCTTTTGGGGGGAACTTGAGAGAGGTGGAAGAGTTTGCCAGGTGTTTCCAGGAAGAAGAGCTAACCATTTTGAGACTGTGTGCCAGGCTCTGCCTTAAGCCTTTTACACAAATTCAACTTTCAATTCCCTGGTAACCACGAGGTGGGCACTATTACTATCCCAGTCTCTAGATGAGAAAAGAGGAGGCATAAAGCCGGGAAGTAACTTGCCCAGGGGTGTATATGTCATTGAGGAGCTGGGATTCAAACCTAGACAGCCTACACCGAATGCTTCCCCTAGCCACCGCACCACACTGCCTCGCAGTACTGGGTATTGGGGGAAGAGGGAGGAAATCCTTAGGATTAGTTTGATACCTTAATCCCTAAGGACTTAAAACTGTCTGGGAAAACCAAGCACCCCTCCTCCTGTGAATGAGGTTATTTTATTTATTTTTTTTTTAAGATTTTATTTTATT